GGAAAGAAAAAAAGAGAGAAGTTTAAATAGGATCAATTCTGTTCCAGAAAACAGCGAAGGGGTCAAAACTTAAAGTTGAAACACAGAACAAGCACGAAAAAATAAAAATTCCGACCTCAAACCTTGAAATCTGTATATTTCACGAACCCAGAACATCTTCAAAAACCCTTCAACATCTGCCAGTAAAATGAAGAAAAAAGAAACCTTTAACCAATTTACCACCAGAAAATCATCTGCTTAACAAAACAAGACGAAAGCTCAAATCCACAGAAAATAAATAAAAATAATAGTAAAAGCCAAAACCCCCCACAGAAAATAGAGCATATCAATCCATATTCGATTATCTCCTAGTCTGCACATGATCATCAATACAAAGATAAACATAGTTTTCTCCAAACAAATGAAATACAATTGAAGCCCAAGAAAAATCTCCATACCCTAAATGAAATATGAATGAAAAGGGAAAAGGAAAGATGATCGAAAAGGCAAAAAGAACCCTTTTGGAAATTATTCAGAAAATACAACATCGTACAAAAAGAAAGGAAAAAAGGGTTCGCAAAAACGTAATTGTTTGTGTTTGAATAACTTGTTGAGGATGAAGAGCTTACTTGTTAAAGAAGATGAAGCATATCCAAAGGAGAAGAAAAAATCCTGGGCAATTCCCGAATACTGTACATAAAACCCAAATCCACTTTTTATAGCTCGCGGGGAAACGTATAAATGCAGTTCAATCTTTGTTTTTGGGTGAACCATAAGTTTTATTTTTTAAGGGTAAATATCAAATTTAGTCCTTATCTTTATCATAAATATCAAATTTATCTCAACTTTTTATTTAGACCAAAATAGTCCCCAATTCAAAGTTACCTAACTTAATCCTACGGTTAATTAGTTCAGTTAAGTTCCTAACAAAAAATATTGACTAGAATTTGGAGAGATCCAATAGAAATCTTTACAGAAATTTTCTTTAAATTTTCATTACCCTAAAATTATTTTTGCTAAATTTTAGATTCTTTAAACATCTTAACTCTTTTTTTTTTTTAATGTTTAAAAAATTCCTTTTTGCTTTACAAATAAGAGTTTATGTATATATTATGGGTTGTAATCTTATAATTTGAAATGAAGTTTTATTTTATAATTTTTAATATGTTTTATAAAATAGTAATTAAGATGACAAATCAATTACAATAGAAAAATATTTAGGTTATGAAATTCATTATCTTTTTTTTTTATGGTAGAAATTTATTATATTGTTAAATTATTAAGTTATATTAAAAGTTTATAGAATTGAAGCAAAGGATTTGCATTAGGTGGAAGGCCAAAAAAAAAAAAAAAAAGGATCCAATGATGTTAAAAAAATAAATATATGTTTAGTGTTAAAAAGAAAAAGTTTAACGGTTTTTTTTTCTCCCCATTTGAGGATTTTGTGCCTTCCCAAAATTTGAAGTAAGATTTCATTAGGAATTTAATAAAAGTGACTAATATTAGGATTAAATTTGCTGATTTTAAAAAAGTTTAAGATTATTTTGGTCCAAATAAAAAGTTAAAATAATATCTAATATTTATGATAAAGATTAGGGACTAAACATGGTATTTATTACCTTTATTTATTTATTTATTTTTTTCGAACATGCTACCTTTTTTTATTTAAGAGAATGCATGAGGGCATTGCATTACATTCAACTAGTTAATGGAGAGGTGAGTTGTTAATGTTAAGGTAATCCTCAATGATCAAGTAAAGACAGGGACGGAGCCAATGAAGAACAAGGTGCCTCCCTAAACTTTTGAAAAACATTTAATATGGTATTTTAACTTTTATTTGTTGAAAATTTTGTTTTTATAATATGAATTTTAAGGATTATTTTAAATGTAAAGAGAATATTTAGGATCTAAATAAAAAGTTTTCAAAAAATAAGGGTATGATTTAAATAAAATGAACTTTATGACAATTTAATTCATTATGAATTGCAGTTTCTAAATATTTCGTTATCTATTAAGCCCAAAAAAAGAAAACTTTGATTATTCTTTATGTAATCAACTTTAAATTTATATTTTCTTAGTTTTTTTTTAATTTTCTCTCTTAATATTCTATATAATAATTTAAAGTTTTTTCTAGCATTAAGGTACATTTTTACCTTTTTTGATTGAATTTATAATCATTTTATATTAAATTAATCAAAATTAAAATTTACTTTTTAAAAGAAATATTCTAGTATTTTTTAATATTCTTGTTTCTTTTATAATATTAGTATTTATAACATGTCCTCTAAAAAGTTAAGATGAACTATTTCAAAATTACATTTTTTTAATAAAATTAAAGCAGTCTCATTTTTACTTTAAGAATACATATTATTTTCATCCTTTTCAGGCAAGTTTATTGAAACAATATAATTTTGTGGTATTTTCCCCCCCCTAATATTTTAGAGATTTTATTAACAAACACATTTCTCCTTTTTAATTCATTTTTCAATTGATTGTTATATAATTTATTACTATAATATTTTATTTTTTATTACAATAAATACATCCATTTTTAATTATTGTTAACAATATATTAATAAAAAGATCACAAATAAATCTTTTTATAAAAGAAAGAAAATTTTAAAAAAATAAATTAGTATTATAAAAGATACCCTTAAAGACTCAAATTTTTAAGATTAATTTTTGCCCCCAGATAAATTACTAAAGTGCAGGATGAATAAATTGCATTTCATTTTTCTACTAACTTAATGCACTCATATATCTATAAGAAAAAAAAAAATGTATATCCCTTACCTCTTAAAAATTAGAAAGAAAATAACTCTAATACAACTTATACTTTATTAAAATAATATAATTTTAAAGTAATTTTTTTTTAATTTTTAAAAAATAAAAGTGAATAAATATTAATCTCTTCTATTTGTGTACATAGAGAATAGTGTTTATATTAATAAGAATTTAACTGAATTTGCACCCATTCACTTGATTAAAAATTTTGATTTAATATTAAAATAAAAAATTCAAACCTTTGTATTATTAAGTAGTTAAATTTTCAATATATAAAAAAATAATCATATCTACAAATAAAGTATCACAAAAAATACTAAATCAGTCTCGTTTTTTATTTAAAAAGTAAAATATTTTAGTTTTTTTAATAAAAATTTATTAAAAAATGTAATTTTAAAATATTTTCGTCGAACCTTTTCGCAAATACGGTGGTTAAACATTTTTACAGTGTATATAGAAAGGAATAACTTCAGAGTTGGCCCTTGAACTGATCTTTTCTTAACGTTTTAGCCCTCAAACTTAGTTTATATGGGCATTTGAACCGTTAAAATTACAAAACTAAACAAAACCGCCTTTTTTTATTTATTGACCAAACGACTTGGTAGGTTTTTCTTTGAAATACGATTATTGGTTATTAGGTTAGGTCTAAAAGGTAAAAAATCAAATAGATAAAATAGGGTTTATTTGGTATAATTGTTAAGAATTAACCGTTAGTAGTTTCATCCAAATTACTACATAAAAATGTTTGATAATTTTTTTCTCACAAATCACTATCTATTTGGTGTTTGATAAAACTTTTTATTTAATGATTTGATAATAGCAGTTGGCAATTAAAACCCAATTTACTATCGAATTGAAAAAAATTCTTGAAAATAGCTTTTGCCCCCAAACTACTAGCGAATTTGTTAAATTTTGTTGATAAATTTACTCATAAAATAATTAGGTATAAAATACAAGACTGCTACTCACAATGTAAATTTACCAAGATTCACAAATTGCTAATTTCTACACTTTTTTACCTAATTCAATTTTAATGATACTGGTATTTTGTTATTTAACATTAGCTCTTTTTTTTTGGTAATGTTCAATTTTAATTTGTTTATTTTTATTTTTTCTTATTTAATTTGTAACTGATTTTTCATTTATTAAAATTTTGTTAAGCCACTATAATAAATTAATTAAGAAAAAATTTTGTAATTTGTACCTTATATTTAAATTTTAAAATTAATTTTTATTAAAAATAACAAAGGAATGTTTCATTTGTAATGTAAAATAATAATAAAAACAACAACAATAATAATATAATTCTTTCAGCATCAAGAACTTGAAAAAAAAAATTAAGTACTTTTTAAATTTATCCTTATTTGTTATTTGATATTAAACAGTAACCACAAAATATAATATAATCAAATAATTGTTAAAAGCAGTATTTTTTAGGCAAAATACCCAAATCCACTCCCAAAACATAGTAGCAGGAACAAATCTACCCTCGAACAAAAAACAAGGACAAATCCACCCATAAAGTTTTCGATTTGGATAAATTACCCCAAATTTAACATGTGACATCATTTAACATCAACAATCCGTTAATCCCTTAATCCATTAACGATTACTGATGTCAGATAACATCAAATTAACAGATTGTTGATGTTAGATAACGTCACACGTTAAATTTTAGGTGATTCATCTAAATCAAAAATTTTATGAGTGAATTTGACCCTTTTTTTGTTTGGGAGTGGACTCGTCCCTACCACTATACTTTGGGGGTGAATTTGGGTATTCTATCTATTTTTTATTTGCTATTTATTATCCACTATCTACAATCCATTAACTGCTATCCACTACTTGGTATCCATTAACCCCTAATTGCTAGTTGTAAATTGTTATATTACACAGCCCCTAAAATGACCTCATATCATAGTATATATTATTTGTAATTAACTATTAATTACTATTATTGTTATTAGAGGTTAATACATATGAGTCCTAACTTCTAAAAATAATTAGAGTTCTAACTTACATTTGAAAACTGAAATCTCAATCTATTAAATGTTGATATCTAAATTTAAAAACTCATTATATATTCTAATATATCAATATTTAATAAAATAATTTTTTAAATTTTGAATTGAATTTTAATTAAATAAAATGACGTAGTTTAAAGTTGGGACTTTAACTATTTTTGTAAGTTGAGACTGATATGTACTTTTCTATTATTATTATTTATTATTATTATTATTACAATTTTCACTATATTTTAGTATTAAAAATAAAATAAAACGAGAAGGACTAGACTTGTGTAGACATGTTTAGGGTATTATACGGTATAATAGGCTAGCTTGTTTGCAAAAGAAAATTACAAAAATAAAAATAAAAAATTGCTAGATAGGGTTTAACGGATTAAATGCTTATTCATGTTTTAATTGTTTGTAATAAATTTAGGCATGTTGAAAAAAAGTGTACAAACCTAACCTCCCAGAAAAAAAGTGTAGAACTAAGAAATTGGATGTACATGTGGTTAAAATGTAATGGAATCGCTTTGATGGAAAGTTGTAAATGAATCTAATATATAAATATGGAGCCCAACCAATACTGAATTCTTAGGTTAGTGACAAATTTTAGTTTAGGTCGTTTTACGTGGTATCAGGAGAACCACTTCTTGTAGGTAACATTAGATGGGGAATTTTGTTGTTGGGTTTGGTGAGGACATCATTAATTGCATTATTTCTATTTATACCCAATCACCCACTCATTAAATGATTACAATACTTCCCTAACGTAAAAGGGTAAATTGGTTACTAACTTTAAATATTCTTTTTTTTTTATTTTATAGTTTAAATTATAAAATAAAAATGATTAGCAAAATAAAAAAATAACCTCAAATATCAAAACATTATCTTTTATAAAATTATTTAAATTGTATAATTTAAACTACAAAATATATTTTTTTAAGAGATAAACCACCACAATACTAAATTACCTACAATCGAAAAGACTTGTTGGGATCGAAAGAACAGGAAAAATAGAAACAACAAACCTCGTCTCTTCTTTCCTCTTTTTTTTTTTTTTTTTGAAACAGTGTGAATTTGTTAATAATTAAATATGTAAAAAGAATTGTGCGAAATCACTACATTTTGATAAAATATCAAAAATAATAATAAAGAGATTTAAATATTTTTAATAAAAAAATTTAAATACTCTTCATAAATTAATAGACAACCAAAATTCATTAGAGGTAATTAATCAATTTCACTAGTTTAGAATACGTTGATTTTCACTTTTCTACATTACACTACCATCTTTACCATACTAGTAAAATCATTGAATCCCATCAAAAGAATCATACTGGATGGTGTTTTCTTTGAATGATCTCTACATTTGAAGTACGTACCAAACATTTCCGCGTATACAATGCTGCAATTCTAATTTCAATCATAACAATCCCCAACTACACAAGAAGAAACAATAAACTGTTCCTTGTATTACAAGAGTATGGCATTATTGTCTAGTTGAGTGTTCTACCCAGCAGCTTGAAAATCCCCAAAATCATCATCTGGTATGTCTTCTGTGCTTTGACTTTCAAGAGAACGGTCTTCTTGTTTTGGCTTTGTGCCTCCTTCGGAACTTGCCCCTTCGCTATGTTTTTGAGAGAAATTATTTGAAGCCTTCTCAACTGTACTTGCAGGGGATAGCGGTGTTGGAGGAGGCGGTGGTGGTTTGATGGAGATCACGGCCTCTTTTTGCTTACCCTTGTCTTCTATCGAGAGATTGCTAATACCCTGCTCCAAGATCTTGGATTTTGCACTTGAGCCACCTTTCTGAGAACCAAGACGAATCAAATTCTACTCAGAATGCAATATGCAGGATGAGTCACAGGAGATAGTGAAGGACTTGTAAGCTTACAGTTTTTATTTGAAGTACTAGGGTCTCCCCCTCTTTTAAACTATAGTCAACTGAGGAAGTATTTTGGAATTGTTGCTCCATCTCTTCCGCGGTTCTCTTTTTGTTGAGATATCTGCAATATGAAACAAGAAACTTCAAACCTCTAATCTAACAGAAAAATTAATTACTTGAAAACTAAGCTGCATAAACTTCTTATATTTGCTAGATCAAGAACATAAGGAAAAGCTAAAAGTTATATAAATGTTTGCAAAATTACTTCATGTGGTCATGCAGTGCTGCCTGAAAATCATAAGCCTCTGTTCTCTCTCGAAATCCAATGCCAATGAATGCATGCCGAACACGACCACCTGCATGATAAACACAATGTTTGAAAAAACAATAAAAAGTTACTAAGCCAAAAGTGGAAGCATATCCATCATTGCACGTGAGGGAACCCATCATCACATGTGAGGGAACCAGTTTAAGATGGCAACTACAAAGAAACATAACAGTTTAAAGAAATCAGAGATGAAAATTTTATCATAAACAGGACAGTATGAAGCTTATCTTATATTAAAACAGGAATCTGAGAAATAGAAGGGACTAGAACTATTAAACAATTTGTATTTCTGTTTGGTATTTGTCACCTTTAAAGTCCTTAGCTATGATGGAAATTTGAACCCCTGACCTTGACCCTAACCCCAAAATCAAGAATTTAGAGTTGATGGATATTTTAATACCTATGTAGCGAAGCTGTAGCCACCTAAAGAATTGAGTACGGACAAACTCCAAATAACTAGGGAACGACAGTCTGTAACTTCATAAAGTCAGTCTCAGCACTGTTGTATAACTTCCATTTTAGCAAATTTCAAATTTTCAACATTTCATACACGATGATCATATTATAGTTTCTGCTTTTCCTACATTCACAGGTTATTTTATGCAATTTGGTTTAGTTGAGGTTACTCTAGAAATCTTTGAGGGCTTAGGTTATATTTCCTTTGAGTTCTACTTCTAGCTAATTATATCATTAATCATTCTAATATTCATTTTAGAATCTCAATCCTAGTTGGTTAAGGAATAGTCCAAGATTCCTCAATGTACGCTTTATAATAGGGAACACTGTCATTAAGAAGATAAATGGTGGTTTATTCAGGCACAGATGACTAGAGATTTGTTGTCAGCTCTTTCTCAAAAATAAAAATTTTAAATTTAAAAAACTTCTTTCCACTTCTCTTGATTTGCTGCCATGGTAACTCCTAACATTCATGGCAACATGGTACCTTCTACCAGCATCCCAAACAGCACTAAGTCTTGCGTTTTCTTCTTTTGTTCAAACCTCAAATTTATAGTTTTTCTTTTACCCTAATAAAAACCTGAAGACCTGGTTAACAACCATAAAATATTATGTTTTCTTCTCTGGTTCAAGTCTATAACTATTTCTTTTACCAAAGTACAAACCTTAAAGACCTACTTTTAAGTCTAAATCCATCACAAAAGCCAGGAGGCAGAAGTAAAAAATCTGCAGAAACAAAAATTCAGATGCAAACTATAACAAGGGTAAAATACCATTCCCACCCCCTTGTGGTTTTTAGGGAATGTTTGGTTTCTCTTCCAGACAGCAACTTTTACCAAGGAAGCTGTGAGCCATTGAACAAAATGACCTGGCTCAGGATTATCAAAATCCTGGTACGAAAACAAAGGACTCATGTTATCAGTTATGTTGGCTTTAAAGGTGGTTGAAATCACCTCAAGATACATAAAACTGATTGGGTGCAATAAAATTGGTTACCATACCCGGAACCTTTTCTATACCACATTTTTTTTTTTTTTTGGAAGCATAATCTGGGCAATATAAGCAGTTCTTTTGCATGGCCCAAAGAAAAAAAGAAAAAAAAAGCTGTTATTTTGCAGCATAACTGCTTATGTGCACTTTAGTCTTGGATTTTTAGAATCCAGGTCTAGGAGGTCATAGTCTTGGACTTTTAGAATTGTGGTCATGTGAACACATTATGTGACACAAAATTTCACTGGGAACACTTACCAAACACAGCCTTAGGTTGACATTTTACATTTCCCATCATAAAATTGTTGACATTTACCCTTAAGCTCACAATCTTTTGGATAAAAGACATTTCCCCCTTTGTGGTTTTGTAATACTTGATTCCAACCATATGTTCAAATTTGACACATAACCCATTATTTTGTTTTAAATTTAACATATAACTCTGTGAGTTTTGCTCCACTAACTCGAAGGCATAGAACCATTTGACTATAGTTAAGAAAAAAAATGTGCTCTTCTAAATGCTGCAGATACCTTAAAAGATGACCATATTGATATACACTTTAGATGCATACTATACAAATCTTTTAGCTTATGGGTTATGCACCGAAGAAATGTTGATTTCAACTAAAGTTAAAGTAACATGTTGGAAAATAAGTAGTTAAGTTTTGGCAAAAATAGCCTATCATCCAAATAAGATTGTGATGATCAGTGCATAATATGAAGATTTATCCTGCAAATTTTTGTCTTTGATCATGGTAACATATGCTTTTAATTATGTTCTCTAATTATTTTCAGTCCCTCAGGTCTTATTGGCCAAGATACATTAATTATTGACATCTAACTCAAGTTAACTAGATAAGTTTAATACAAACTATTAACTGGTTAGGTTTCAGTTAGGAAGAAGTTTGCAGTATCAAAAGATGAAACCACAGTGGATGAAGAGTCATACCTCAAAAGCCACATGGAATTAAGTATGAAGCCTCCAAACCAAGAGGGGAAAAGATATTTCCCTTGGCTTATGATATATGGTACATGAGAGAAGCTTGACACATGGCATTGATCGTTGAGTTGGCAACCTAGTAGGATTAGGATTCATTATTATTTTCACCATTGTCATTTTACTGTGTGTTCTATTTTAGTTTCATGGTTAGGTTTAGGGCTAGAAAAGTTTAGGATTAGGATCATGCCTAGTCTCATAATTGCACATTTTCAAGAAATTGTAAACCTATTTCTTCTTCTTCTATCCTTTGTAACTTCTCTAAAACCCTCTTGTAATCACTTATCCATTTGAGAAATACATATCGAAGATCAATTCTTTTCTCTCTGAACCATTACATTTTTTCCTGCTCTTTTTACATTGTATCATTTTGCATTAGAGCTTCATCTTCCTCAGATATAGCAAAAACTTATTTCTGGAAGTTTTAAGGAAGACATGATTGGGAGAATTTGTGGATTGCCAAATGGAGATCGACAAACAGCAAGAACTCTTGCAAGCAGCAGTAGAAAACATGAGAAATCAAACTAGAAGTAACTACAACACTGGAAAACCCCAATTTCTAGGTCAGAAATCATCTGATACAACCACTTTGTAAGACAACAAAGCTTCTGCATCTGCCCCAAATCAGTGCCCACTGCCCTCTAAGTTTTCTACACTTGAAATCCCCAAAATGGTGATGATGATTCAGCTGACTTGAAGTACTTTAGAATTGAGAGTACTCCAAAGAAGCACAAGCTCAATCAGATTCTATCAGGGTTAGGAAACGACATCAAATATTTCTAATGAACAAGTTGTTCATAAAAGGACAGACAAAGGCATAGTTTGAGGAAAAGGAATTGCAGATATTTCATGGCTGATTTGATTACAGTGAGGCAAAATCGAACAGTGGAGCAGTACAATGTGTTGTTCCCAAATCCAAGCATATACAACAACCATTAGTGGTCGTAGTCTTAAGGGAGTTATTGATATAGTTATGCAAGTGTAAGCTGGACTCTATTTGACAAATACAAAAAAGAACAAATTTAACCATTGCAGACAGTGAATTGGCATCAAGAAATGTGATTGCAGGTTTGTTTAAAATGGAGTGTTTGAGAATTACAGCACACACTGATTTTATGGTTTTATAGTTCAGTGAGAAAATTGGAGGATGGAATCTCTGGAATCCCAATGCAAGAAAGTGTACAGAATCCTAACTTTCTGGCAATTAGTTCTTTTAGAAGGTGCTACTTGCATTTGGGACTTGAGTAGCTTAAATGCATATAAAGCTCTAAACAAGATTACCTCCCTACTTCTTTTAACACACACACTGCCTCTAAGTGCACAACAAAAATAGACAAGAAGTTTAGATGACGATTAAAACCTGCTGAATCTTTCAGAGTTCTTAAATAGTTGTTAGAGACATAAAAGAATTCCTTGATATGCTTTTACAAGTGTCAAAGTTTCATTTGGTGATTGTAAGGGAAACCCTTTTACATAGATGCCTCAATTTTGCAGATGGATAATTGTAACATGTCTTTTGGTCACCAACGATTAAAATTAAAACCCTCATTAACTGTTTTTTAGTTTTTTATTTTTCTTTGGCCAATGCTGATTTTTAGTTCTTCATGCAACGAAACTTGAGAAACTTCATGAAGCCAATTTGGGCATTACATGACATGTCAAGGTTTGGGCTTTCTTCTGTAATTTAAAAATAACAAAAGACAAAAAAAAAAAAAGGAAAAAAAAAAAAGAGAGAGGGAAAGAGAGAAGCAGAGCATGAACATAAAAGATGGTATGAATGCCCGGAAGTCAAGTCACACATGAAAGAATTACATTATCAGTTGTTAAAGACTAAGTCACTGTTAGTTAATAAATTTTATTTGAAAGATTGTTGGGATAATGAAAATAAAAAGGGAAGAAGGAAAAAATAAAGAAATGGAGGGGCTATGGCCTGTGGGAATTTTAAACAATAATGTGCTGTACTGAATGGTTAAAAATCAAAATAAAAGGAAATTATCAGCAGGTGTAAGGGGATTAGAAGAAATGAAATTAATAGTTGAAAATAAATTTGAAAGAAGACATGGAAAATTACTTACCAATGTTCTCTTCTACTCGAAGAACAAAGTATCTGCAGAAAAAGGTCTTTCATTCAGACAACCTTGAGAAAAATACAATAAGTTGATGGTGAATAATTGAACTTAATGCCTGTTGGTAATACCTGCTACTATCAATCACAGGTTCCACTGGATGCGGTTCCCCATTTCTCAGAAATGCCTGAGCATATAGTTCACCTATTTAGAAGGTTTTAGCTATTGTCACTTTCAGAAACTAATCATCTAATGCTAAAGATGACAATACATATATTTTTGTTTTATTCCACACAGACAACTATATTCTCACCTGTGGACTTATCTTCAAGTCTGATGATGCACTCCTCTCCTTTGCTAATGACTTTCAATGTCCCCTCCCATGCCCATTTGTTGACATTCCATTCATCAGCCCTGAAATAAACTTCTGAGATACAAATATCCAAACCAATTTGAAGATAAACTCACAAATCTTAATAGAAAGTAACAAGCATCTAAAAAGATTACTAGACATGGTACTAGAACAGCAGAATCTAATGTAATGTCTTAATGTAGTTACAAAAAACAAAATATGGATTTGAATGCCTAATAAAAGGAAATATTGATGATCTCAGGTCAGTGGTCCATTGTGTCAGGGTTCAAATCAAGCCAACACCTTTAGATTGGATTGGATAGGGAGGCGGGCGGAGGGGAGGGGGATTAGATGAAAAGAGGAAGGAAAAAGGGAATAGTCATGGCCTTATGCTGAATTTTATTTTATTTTATTTTTTTGCAGGACTAATTGCTAAATTCATTGTGAAAAATCATCTCATATCAGACAAGCAAAACATTCTTTCATGATTGCTTTCTACATTCAAAGATGCCTCCTTTGTTTAACCAAACACAGAAATTTTGGGTTGGCAGGAGGACAAGGGAAGTGCAATATAAGGAAGGAAAAGATGTAAAAGCTAATTACTAAACATGGACCTCTCCTCAGGTCAGATTCCTCTACATATCTTGGTTGTTTAAGTAAGCAATAAGACATCCTTCTTTTAGAAATTTTCTACTTCACTTAACTTTTAATAATTTCAGGAGCAACACCAGTTAGTCATTGACTATGTTTTTGTGAACAAATTAATACACGCCAGAATAAGAAAGGGCTCACAACAGCAATAGACTTCAAATAAATAAGACAATTTTTTTACTGTCACAAGTACAGAACTCAGTAATGTTACAAGAGATGTTATTTCACATCTAATTTAATTGCATGGTACGAAAAATATCCTGAAAAGTTATTTGATTACCTGTAGGAAGCTGCACTTTTTCTTGGAGGTATCTGCAAGAGTAACAAGCAAAATCAGCCTGATGAGGAAACAGGGCTCAAAACCACCATACAGGAGAGTATTCAAAGTTCTTAGGACTTAGAAGTCTAGTAAAGTTTAATGTTAGACAATCAGCTCTTTAAGTCACACACAAGTTACATTACTAAGAAAATGATTAGCCATTAACAATGACTTCAGAAAAGCCTAAGAAGTACCCTCCTTCTTGGACATATTTATATAATGCAAAATGAAAAGATAGGTAGATCACAAAATACAAGAAAAAAAAAAGCCTAGTTACTTGTAAGTCGTAGACAAGAAAGTAGCACCTTTAACTACGAAATAACAGCTTCACCACCTTCAATCTTTCTTGTAACACACACAGATGATGATGAAGCATGTTAATAGACCATACTTCGGACACCGGACACTATAAAATATTTTCTTTAAACTCTTCCTAGATATATATAGAACCAAAAAAAAATAAAAAATAAAAACTCTTAGTAGGGACTTGGCCCCACATCTGATATATGAGTTTCATTCACATAACACAGCATTCAAATTTGGAAATTAACTCCCACCATTCAAATAACACAAAAACTTGCAGAGAATATAAATGCAAATTCAAAAACTAGCTGGTAGAATCTCGATTCTAACAATTCAGTTCTTCATATTGCTCATTTCTTATAGATAGTCCTAATAAATCTAAAAAGGGCCACCACAGTTTATAATCATTCGAATTTCAAGATAAAGATCACGAATTGATACAAATCTTGGAAACCCCATCACAAAATAACCCAAAAAAACTTCACATGAAAACAGAAACTCAGGCACTAGGTAGGGATTGAGAGAAAGTGACTCACCAAATAAACATAGCATTCAGAGACTTGAAAGAGAAGGAGCTCTATAGCTTCGGATTCATCGTTCTCATCAACGCTTCCTTGATCGTTAGATTCCTCCTGTTGTTTCTCTTTGTCCATGATCCGATGCAAGTACGGAATCAAAGCTCCGACGGACTTGACTGAATTGAGAACTCGAGAAGAAGAAAATTTACGGAAGTGGAATCTGTTTTTCTTTTTTTTGGCCTTTTTTTTTTAACAATCTCAAATCTCAATTCGATCTCAACAAGAAATGGGAATCCCAGCTGTGAAATTCAGGCATATTCCAGATTTTGGTAACCAACTTTGCTTTAAATACTATATGTTACCCAAACTTTTCAGTTGGGTCAAAAATTGCTTTCAACTTCTTTTAAGTGAGAAACTTCGTCCTTCCGTTATCAGTCCGTCAAACCAGTTGCAATTTAACAAGATACCAAGTTACATTCATGCTTGACAAACAAAACTTTACTTGATGGTTGATACCGTTGTATTGTGTTATATTGTAGTTACAGTTATTATTATTTTTTTGTTTTTTATTATTAAAAAATATATAAAAATTAACTAAAATTAATAAATATATTAATTAATTAAAAATAATTAATTTATATTTTTTTTATCTTAAATTACATAATAAGATGTAATTCTCTTTTATTCCTTAACTCAACTTATTTATATATCATGTAACTTGAAATCAAAAAGCTAAACAAAGCCAAAAGAACTATTACTGACTAATAACTAGTATCTCCTTTCTTTTATTCTAGTACAATTACATTTTTATTGTTAATTGAAATTTATAAATTATATTCACATTAGCTTGGGTCTTAGACTCTTAGCCACATAAGTCAAACACACAAGGGTTGTATAAATAAACGGAGTTTAACAGTGTTAACAAACTTTTTAAAGTTTTTAATAATGACCTATGGTTAAATGTGACATTTTGAGAATTGGGTGTAGTTATTGTTGACCAAATTTAAGAAATGAAAGTTTGTAAGCTTGATTCAGAATTGTGTGAAACTTTTGTGACTTCGTTATACACTTTTAACTAAAATTTATACTGGGAAAAGAAATTTCCACCCGAGGATTGGTGTAAAGTAAACAGTAACGTGGTTTAAGGAATTCTATGTGTAGGTTTAGGGAAGATGTTTCGTATGTTTGAAAAATGCAAAAAGATTGCGGGTCTGTCTGCTGGGAAAATGATTTCTAGAAATTTTTTTTTTTGTATTTTTTATTAGAAAATGAGTAAATAAAAATAAACTTTGATTAAAGAAAAAGTTGAATTCTTTTTTTTAGTAAATTAAAGAATTAATTACTTCATAATATAAAAATTAAAATTTTTAATCTTAATTTTAAATAAAAAATTTAATTAATAACCGTAATATCAACCTAATACTTATTTGTAAGAAAAAATTAAGGGCTTCTTTGAAATTGTTGTGAAATGTTATGACTATAACTATACTTATACTAAACAGTGTTATATTGTACTATAATTATG